CCAAATGTTAGGTTGGTACAAATCCCCCCAAATGTCAGGACGGTACAAATCCCCCCAAATGTTAGGTTGGTACAAATCCCCCCAAATGTCAGGACGGTACAAATCCCCCCAAATGTTAGGTTGGTAGAAATCCCCCCCAAATGTCAGAACAGGACAAATCCCCCCAAATGTCAGGAAGGTACAAATCCCCCCAAATGTCAGGACGGTATAAATCCCCCCAAATGCCAGAACAGGACAAATCCCCCCAAATGTCAGAACAGGACAAATCCCCCCAATGTCAGGACGGTACAAATCCCCCTCAAAATGTCAGGATGTACAAATCCCCCCCAAATGTCAGACAAAAATCCCCAAATGTCAGGACAATAAAAATCCCCCCAAAATGTCAGACAATACAAATCCCCCAAATGTCAGGATGGTACAAATCCCCCCAAATGTCAGGACAATAAAAATCCCCCCAAATGTCAGGACAGTACAAATCCCCCCAAATGTCAGGACAAGGTACAAATCCCCCAAATGTCAGGACGGTACAAATCCCCCCAAATGTCAGGACGTACAAATTCCCCCCCCCCCAAATGTCAGGACAGGTACAGATCCCCCCAAATGTCAGGACGGTACAGATACCCCCCCCCCCACCTTCAAATGCCCCCTTTTTGGAAAGTAGACAGTCTAAGGTATTAAGAGGTGTGGAAAGTCACTTTTTTTGTCACAATTTGTTTTTAAATCAAGAAATAAATATGTCCAATGACACGCTGATCAGGGAAATGCAACTGCCGCTTCTCGGCTGCACTTTCCTCTCGTTGTCAGATCATGGGATCGGAGAGTAATGCTGAGAACCGGCAGTTGTCACAGCAGGGATGTGGCACCGATCATCAGGGCACTGATGATCGGTGCCCAACTGATGATCGGTGCCCCCAGCAGTGCCACCCACCAGTTCCGCCCACCTGTGCCCAGCAGTGCCACCCACCTGTGCCCACCCACCATTGCCACCCACCTGTGCCCACCCACCTGTGCCCACCCACCTGTGCCACCTACCTGCCCACCAGTGCCACCCACCAGTTCTGCCCACCTGTGTCCAGCAGTGCCACCCACCTGTGCCCATCAGTGCCCACCAGTGCCACCAGTGCCACCTGTGCCCACCCACCTGTGCCCACCAGTGCCCACACCAGTGCCACTCACCAGTGCCCATCAGTGCAGCCCAGCAGTGATGCCAGTCAGTGCCACCTATCATTTTATTATACAATAAAAAAAAAATAAAATTGCCTCATCAATTTAGGTCAAGATGTATTCTGCGACATGTCTGGTGAAAAGAAAATCCCAATAAGTGCATATGAATTGGTTTGTGTGAAACTTACAGCGTCTACAAACTACGATATACAGTGTATATATATATATATTTATTGAGGTTTTTGTTATTATTAATGGCAGTGATCAGCGACTTATAATGGGACTGCAATAGTGTGGTGGGCAATCTGACACTAACTGACACTGGAGGAGGGGGGGGGGACTAACTGTCACTGACATCACCAGTGACACCAATACAGGATCAGTGATAATACCGTACCCTGTACTGTACATTCACACCTCCCAACTTTTTGCGATAGGAACAAGGGACACCTATTATAAGTATGAAGGCATAGGACACTCAGCAGAGCTCCTCCTTCCCTGCGCTGCTCACAGCCGGGACACTCAGCAGAGCTCCTCCTTCCCTGCGCTGCTCACAGCCGGGACACTCAGCAGAGCTCCTCCTTCCCTGCGCTGCTCACAGACGGGACACTCAGCAGAGCTCCTGCTTCCCTGCGCTGCTCACAGCCGGGACACTCAGCAGAGCTCCTCCTTCCCTGCGCTGCTCACAGCCGGGACACTCAGCAGAGCTCCTCCTTCCCTGCGCTGCTCACAGACGGGACACTCAGCAGAGCTCCTGCTTCCCTGCGCTGCTCACAGCCGGGACACTCAGCAGAGCTCCTCCTTCCCTGCGCTGCTCACAGCCGGGACACTCAGCAGAGCTCCTCCTTACCTGCGCTGCTCACAGCCGGGACACTCAGCAGAGCTCCTCCTTCCCTGCGCTGCTCACAGCCGGGACACTCAGCAGAGCTCCTCCTTCCCTGCGCTGCTCACAGACGGGACACTCAGAAGAGCTCCTCCTTCCCTGCGCTGCTCACAGCCGGGACACTCAGCAGAGCTCCTCCTTTCCTGCGCTGCTCACAGCCGGGACACTCAGCAGAGCTCCTCCTTCCCTGCGCTGCTCACAGCCGGGACACTCAGCAGAGCTCCTCCTTCCCTGCTCTGCTCACAGCCGGGACACTCAGCAGAGCTCCTCCTTCCCTGCGCTGCTCACAGCCGGGCACTCAGCAGAGCTCCTCCTTCCCTGCTCTGCTCACAGCCGGGGACACTCAGCAGAGCTCCTCCTTCCCTGCGCTGCTCACAGCCGGGACACTCAGCAGAGCTCCTCCTTCCCTGCGCTGCTCACAGACGGGACACTCAGCAGAGCTCCTCCTTCCCTGCGCTGCTCACAGACGGGACACTCAGCAGAGCTCCTCCTTCCCTGCGCTGCTCACAGACGGGACACTCAGCAGAGCTCCTCCTTCCCTGCATTGCTCCCCCCCCCATGTGTGAGCAGCATGTCTCAGCATTAAAGAAAGAAAAACAGCAATTATCAGCACACTCCCCCTCAGCAAAAATGACCCAGCAAGCTAGAATTCTCCCCAAACGAAAATTCCTTGTCCTCCTCCCCCTCTACATCCCCCCTCAGCACAGATCTTTGCCCCCCCCACCCCCATCCCACCTCTTAGATCAAATCCCCCCAATTTCCCCCCAGCACTAATCTACTGAAAAAAAATTACCCCCCCCCCCAACACACACATGCTCTTTCTCCTCAAATTTCTCATCCTAGCACAAATGCTTATGTGCAAATCCCCCCCTCCCAGCACAAATCCTCCCCCCAAATTCCCCCTCCTAGCATAACTCTCCCCATCCTAGCTCACCCCCCAATCCCCCTCTTAGACCAATTCCTCCTCATCCCCCCTCCCAGCACAAATCCTCCCCCAAAATTCCCCTCCTAGCATAACTCTCCCCATCCTAGTCCAAATCCCCCCACCCATTCCTAGCTCAACCCCCTCCCCCCCCCCAATCCCCCTCTTAGACCAATTTCTCCTCACCCCCCCCCCCCTCCCAGCAGAAATCCTAACCCCCAAATCAATTGCCCTCCCAGCACAAATCCTCTCCCACATATCCCCCCCTCCTAGCATAAATCCCCCCCAATCCTGCCTCTTAGCCCAAATCCCCCCACCCCTTCCTAGCTCAACTCCCTATTCCCCCTCTTAAACCAATTCCCCTCATCCCCCTCTTAGCAAAAAATCCTCACCCCAAAATCAATCACCCTCACAGCACAAGTCCTCTCTACCCCCCCCCCCCCCCCCCCCCAGAACAAATCCTTTCCCACAAATCCCCCCTCCTAGTATAAATCCCTCCAATCCCCCCTCCTAGCCATCTGTGAGAAGGCCAGCCTTGGGGGGGGGGCACAACTGAATTCTGGGGGGGGCACAGCCCACCCCAACAACCCCTAGATCTGGCCATGTTGCCAAGCCTTCTGTTGCGGATTGGCCGAGGTCCCTCAAGAGTGCAGCCAGCCAGCCACTCTTCAGATCCACCCACTGCCTCCAAGACCCTCCTCCAAAAGCCTCAGAGCAGGGGGAGCAGGGGCCTGCAGAGTCTCTCAGCCCTGACCACAATTTGACCCCTCCGGCTATTACACCTGCCAATCAGCTCCTGTCCAACCATCTAGCTCCCCCTAGCTGAACGAGGAGGGTGCTACACAGAGACAGGGCTTAGGAAAGTCATTGTCTTCTTACACCTGAGACGTGAAATACATCCTCTGTACTGCAATCAGCTGAATTCAAATCGTGTCGGATTCCACTTCTCTGTCTCATCGAAGAGTTTACGCTGCCTGTGGATGGTGCCAAGCTAGCAAGTGACCATACCATCAGACAGACTGGGTGTAGGAAGGTCAATACATAAAGCAACATTTGAGACGTAAGATTTTCCTTCACTTCTTGACCCTGAGACACTCCAGGAAGTGAGAGAAAATCTCTAAAGAGAGAATTTCCCTTTCTGTATAAAAACAAAAACCTGTCTGGTGACATTTGTTTCCTGTAGCGGAAACCTCGCCCTAAAAGAAGAAAAAACGAACAGCCAGAAGCTACAAATACTGCGACTGCTGACTATTAATATTAGGGCACTTACCTGTCCAGGGACCCAGCGGTGTCCTCCCCCCAAGGGGTGCCGGGTGCTGGCACCGCCATCTTGACTAAGGGAAACTGACAGTGAAGCCTTGCAGCTGCGCTTTGTGAATGGGCCGCAGTCCTCCGGACTTTGGAAGTGGACCTTGGAAAGGGGGGGGGGGTTCTCCGCGGTGAACTGAGCTGAAAGTGTTAGCGGGTATCTGTCAAAACCAGGTACCCCCCCCCCCCAAAAAAAACATGCTAAATGTGACAGTGGGGGGGGGGGGGGGGGGGGGAATCCACTTTAAAGTTTCACTTTAACCCCTCGCCTGCTCAGGCCAATTTTCAGCTTTCAGCTCTGTTGCACTTTAAGAATGACAATTGTGCGGTCATGCGACACTGACGACACTGTACCCATATGACATTTTTATCATTTGTTTTTCACACACATAGAGCTTTGTTTTGGTGGTATTCAATCACCATGGGGGGTGGGGGGGGGGGTATTTTTGGTAAACAAATGAAAAAAGACTGAAAATTTTGAAGGGGAAAAAAAAAAACCTCTCTTTTCGTTTCTGTTATAAAACTTTTGCAAATATGTAATTTTTCTTCTTCACTAATATGTGCTGATGAGGCTGCACTGATGGGCACTGATGGGCACTGATGAGGCTGCACTGATGAGGTGGCACTGATGGATACTGATAGGCTGCACTGATGGGCGCTGATGAGGCTGCACTGATGAGGCTGCACTGATGGGCACTGATGAGGGCTGCACTGATAAGGCAGCACTGATGGGCACTGATGAAGAGGCACTGAGGATGCTGCACTTATAAGGAAGCACTGATGGGTACTGATGAGGCTCCACTGATGGGCACTGATGAGGCTGCACTGATGAGGTGGCACTGATGGATACTGATAGGCTGCACTGATGGGCGCTGATGAGGCTGCACTGATGAGGCTGCACTGATGGGCACTGATGAGGCTGCACTGATAAGGCAGCACTGATGGGCACTGATGAAGAGGCACTGAGGATGCTGCACTTATAAGGAAGCACTGATGGGTACTGATGAGGCTCCACTGATGGGCACTGATGAGGCTGCACTGATGGGCACTGATGAGGCTGCACTGATGGGCACTGATGAGGCTGCACTGATGGGCACTGATGAGGTGGCACTGATGGGCACTGATAGGCTGCACTGATGGGGCGCGGATGAGGTTGCACTGATGAGGCTGCACTGATGGGTACTGATGAAGAGGCACTGATGAGACTGCACTGATGATCCGGTTATTGGATTTTCTTTCCTCGCCCTGTGACAGCAGACGTGTTCCATGGTCAGCAGTAGACTCACACAGCCCGGTCAATGCTGCTCCCATTCCTTCTATATTCATTTCATTCTTCAGTCCCGTCTCCTCAATGCAACATTCAAGTCCAACATTCCACACCCCCCCCCCCCCCCCCCCCCTCTCTTGTGATGTTTTCTGTGTATTTTTTCATCGATTGTTAGTGGCATTAATTGTACAAAGTCTCCATCCTCAGGTCCCGCCCCCGGTGACGGAACGTTTAGACTCGCCGCTAAATTCTTCCCTTCATTTCTTTTGTTGCCTAAATTGGAACACCATTCAGGTTCCATCACCACCAACACCTCAAATGTCCACCTTGTAGTCACATTGGTGAGGATGATCCTCAGATGACTAGTAAACATCCATCACATTCTTTGGTGCAGCAAACAATGGAATGTTCAATGTTTTGGGGCGGAGCCTACAAACCCAACAACTCTTGATACCCGAGGGCTTGGCATACCGACACGTAAAGTTCAGCTGTGACATATCTTCAGTCAATCATCTCTTCTGCTCTTTATTAGTTCAGCCATTCCCGGTCTTCTGGTTGTGGCCACAGATTGGTGGCCCTTCTTGTAGATGATGGTAGCCGTGACTAACTGAAAGAGTTATCACTGAGAGACAACCAATCAGAAGAAAGTTCTTCCAGGCCGTCTCTGGAGGAAGCAGCACCCTGAAGATTGGAGGGCGTTGATAGGTCCGTCTCCTTTCTTTGTTCTGTCTGTTGCTCCTCGTTCTTTGGTGGTTCCGGGATCCTCTTTGCTCTAGAAGCTAGAAGACGTTGGAGTCACCAATCAGAACTGAGGTTCTCATCACACAGCCCTCACTATGGTGGGTTCTCCGTAGGGCGGATCTGCGGTCTTGTGTCTGTGAAGTTCCTTCAAGTGAAGCTCCACCCAAAAGGGGAAGACCCTCTTTAAGTCTTTATCCCGCGCTCCTCGTAGAGGATTGTGTCTGTGAAGTTCCTTCAAGAGAAGCTCCACCCAAAAGGGGAAGACCCTCTTTAAGTCTTTGTCCCCCACTCCTCATTGTGCATTGTATCTGTGAAGTTCCTTCAAGCAAAGCTCCACCCAAAAGGGAAGACCCTCTATAAGTCTTTGTCCCCCGCTCCTCATTGAGGATTGTATCTGAAGTTCCTTCAAGTGAAGTTCCACCCAAAAGGGGAAGACCCTCTTTAAGTCTTTGTCCCCCACTCCTCATTGTGCATTGTATCTGTGAAGTTCCTTCAAGCAAAGCTCCACCCAAAAGGGGAAGACCCTCTATAAGTCTTTGTCCCCCGCTCCTCATTGAGGATTGTATCTGAAGTTCCTTCAAGTGAAGCTCCACCCAACAGGGGAAGACCCTCTAAGTATTTTTCCCCTGCTCCTTGTAGAGGATTGTATCTGTAAAGTTCCTTCAAGCGTAGCTCCACCCAAAAGGGGAAGACCCTCTATAAGTCTTTGTCCCCCGCTCCTCATTGAGGATTGTATCTGAAGTTCCTTCAAGTGAAGCTCCACCCAAAAGGGGAAGACCCTCTTTAGGTCTTTGTCCCCCGCTCCTCATTGAGGATTGTGTCTGTGAAGTTCCTTCAAGTCTGTGAAGTTCCTTCAAGTGAAGCTCCACCCAGAAGGGGACGGTCCTCTTTAGGTCTTTGTCCCACGCTCCTCATTGAGGATTGTATCTGTGAAGTTCCTTCAAGCGTAGCTCCACCCAACAGGGGAAGACCCTCTAAGTCTTTGTCCCCAGCTCCTCATTGAGGATTGTGTCTGTGAAGTTCCTTCAAGTCTGTGAAGTTCCTTCAAGCGTAGCTCCACCCAACAGGGGAAGACCCTCTAAGTCTTTGTCCCCAGATCCTCATTGAGGATTGGTACCTTTGGGGAGTGAATTTGGCAGGTACCCGCTCCCACCTCCGCTGGAACTCCACCACTACCCAATCTCCTGGCTTGTACGGGTGAGTTGGATCATCTGTGGGAAGAGGAAACAAGAGAAACCTCACCGTATACAATATTCAGCACCCTAATCTGTTCCGGGACAAATCTTTCCTGGACCAATCACCCGCCATAAATACCAAGAGGACCTCTTGTCGTATATTTTTTGCAACTACAATAACCAACCAGCAAAAGAACCCAAAATAATTTCTGCTGCTCCTGACGATCACAGCGATACCACACGTGTATGTTTGTTGTTGTTTGTACCCGGAGTGCCGCCCCCGAACAATAGCGAGAATTTTGCTTTTTTTTTATCTTGCCACTAACTGACACGAATACTAATTTAACAATTAAAAAAAAAAATTTGACAAAAAAAAAAAAGTCGGACCCTGACCCTTAATCCTGACCTTTGACCCTAACACAGGCACTGACCTCGATCAACTCTTCATCTAGGAATTTGTATTTATTTATTTATTTTTTATTTTTATTTAATTATGTTTTTATTTTATTATTATGTTTACTTTTTTTATTTATTTATTATTTATTTATTATTTTTATTATTTTAAGTATTTTTACTATATTTATTATTATTATTGTTATTATTATTATTAATATTATTATTTTTATTTATTTATTTTTTACAAACCCTTTTTTTTTCTCTCTCGGGACTCGGGGCTCTCACTGACACCCCGATGTTTGTGCTGGTGACACCAATGATGGAGCACTATTCCCCCCACTGACACCAATGATGGGGCACTATTCCTCCTACTGACACCAATGATGGGGCACTATTCCTCAACTGATGCCAATGATGGGGCACTATTCCTCCCACTGACACCAATGATGGGAAACTATTCCTCCCACTGACACCAATGATGGGGCACTATTCCTCCCACTGATACTAATGATGGGGCACTATTCCTCCCACTGACACCAATGATGGGGCACTATTCCTCCCCCATGATGATACCAATGATGGGACACTATTCCTCCCACTGACACCAATGATGGGGCACTATTCCTCCCACTGATACCAATGATGGGACACTATTCCTCCCACTGACACCAATGATGGGGCACTATTCCTCCCACTGACACCAATGATGGGGCACTATTCCTCCCACTGACACCAATGATGGGGCACTATTCCTCCCACTGACACCAATGATGGGGCACTATTCCTCCCACTGATACCAATGATGGGGCACTATTCCTCCCACTGACACCAATGATGGGGCACTATTCCTCCACTGACACCAATGATGGGGCACTATTCCTCCCACTGACACCAATGATGGACACTAGAGATGAGCGAATCGAAGTAGGCGAAGTGGAATTCGAGTCGAATATTGGAAAAATATTCGAAATTTTTTCTAAAATGGCGGCGGACATGTGCGGCGACGGAGCGGGGATGTCTGGGAAGGCGCGCAGACAAGGCGCGCTGACCCATAATGCATTCCTTAATGACATGTGATCGCATCAGCCAATCAGCAGCCAGCCAGCCAGCACTGTGTAATGGTCGAGCTATAAATAGCGGCCATTTTAGAATTCTTCATTTGCCTCCAGTCATTGAACAGAGGCAGACCGCTCTGTATTAGGGACAGAGTTAGGGCCACAGAAACGTTACTTGGGGACAGAGAAGCATTACTCAGGGACACAGAATTGTTAATGAGGGCCACAGAATTGTTACTGAGTGCCAGAGAATTGTTACTTAGGGCCACAGAATTGTTACTCAGGGACAGACACAGAATTGTTACTGAGGGCCACAGAACTGTTACTTAGGGCCACAGAAACGTTATTAGGGCCACAGAATTGTTACTCAGGGACAGACAGAATTGTTACTGAGTGCCAGAGAATTGTTACTTAGGGCCACAGAAACGTTAGGGCCACAGAATTGTTACTCAGGGACAGACACAGAATTTTGTTACTGAGGGCCACAGAACTGTTACTTAGGGCCACAGAATTGTTACTCGGACAGACACAGAATTGTTACTCAGGGACACAGAATTGTTAATGAGGGCAACAGAACCGTTACTTAGGGCCACAGAAACGTTACTCAGGGACACAGAATTGTTACTGAGGGCCACAGAACCGTTACTTAGGGCCACAGAATTGTTACTCAGGGACACAGAATTGTTACTGAGGGCCACAGAACTGTTACTTAGGGCCACAGAATTGTTACTCGGACAGACACAGAATTGTTACTCAGGGACACAGAATTGTTACTGAGGGCCACAGAACCGTTACTTAGGGCCACATAAACGTTAATCAGGGACACAGAATTGTTACTGAGGGCCACAAAACCGTTACTTAGGGCCACAGAATTGTTACTCAGGGACAGACACAGAATTGTTTCTTGAGGGACACAGAATTGTTACTGAGGGCCACAGAACCGTTACTTAGGGCCACAGAAACGTTAATCAGGGACACAGAATTGTTACTGAGGGCCACAGAACCGTTACTTAGGGCCACAGAAACGTTAATCAGGGACACAGAATTGTTACTGAGGGCCACAGAACCGTTACTTAGGGACACAGAATTGTTACTCATTGACACAGAATTGTTACTGAGGGCCACAGAACTGTTACTTAGGGCCACAGAATTGTTACTCGGACAGACACAGAATTGTTACTCAGGGACACAGAATTGTTACTGAGGGCCACAGAACCGTTACATAGGGCCACAGAATTGTTACTCAGGGACACAGAATTGTTACTGAGGGCCACAGAACTGTTACTTAAGGCCACAGAATTGTTACTCGGACAGACACAGAATTGTTACTCAGGGGGACACAGAATTGTTACTGAGGGCCACAGAACCGTTACTTAGGGCCACAGAATTGTTACTCAGGGACACAGAATTGTTACTGAGGGCCACAGAACTGTTACTTAAGGCCACAGAATTGTTACTCTGACAGACACAGAATTGTTACTCAGGGACACAGAATTGTTACTGAGGGCCACAGAACCGTTACTTAGGGCCACAGAATTGTTACTCAGGGACACAGAATTGTTACTGAGGGCCACAGAACTGTTACTTAGGGCCACAGAATTGTTACTCGGACAGACACAGAATTGTTACTCAGGGACACAGAATTGTTACTCAGGGACACAATCGTTGAATTAAAGAGTATGTCAGACAACATGCAGAGGAGTGGCAGAGGAGGCAATGTTTTAGGAGCGAGCAGACGTGGCAGCAGAGGAAGGGGTCGAGGCAGCACTATTCGCAGCCAGAGGCCAGTGCTCCCGGTGTCATCCAGCGGTCGTGTCTCCACCGACAACCCTGCCGTCATTGATTGGTTTGCTCGGTCGTCTTCCTCTTCCCAGGTCACCTCTGACACCTACAGCCAACGGTCGGTGGGTACGTCAGACACAACCGTTAGTTGGCATGGCCCGGGAGCAAGCCCACTGAAATCACATGTCCTCTACCTGCCCCTGTCCTTTGCTGTTCCCTCACCAAGCGAAGTATCGCATGCTGTGGGCTCAGCCCCACTGTACAGTGAGGAAGAGCTAACAGAGGGCGGTCAGGAACGGGGGGAGACATCCGCCTTTTCAGCAGCCAGGCGAACAAGTACTGGGGAGGAGAGTGGCTCGGTAGCCGGTCTAGAGACAGGTCTGTCTCCTGACCCAGACGCAGCCGGGGGCTAGTAGTGAGGCGGAGACCCTAATTGATGATGAGGAGGTTGATCGCACTTGGCTGCCTCGTCGTCATCAGGCAATTTCTTCCGCATCACCAGGAGAAGAGGGTGGCAGCTTGGCAGCGAGCGAAACAGTCGGTGGGTTGCCCAGGAGGCAGCAGGGTCGCAGCAGTGTCAGTGGAGCCAAACGGCCACGGAGTAGAGCACCAGCTCCACTGCAGCCTACCACCACGGCCAGTAGTGGTGCCGGTGTGCATGGAGGAAGTAGCAGTCAGCCAGTGAGGAGTAGCGGGGGCAAAGTTTCCTACTCGGTGGTGTGGCAATTTTTCGTCAAGCCGCCCGAGGAAGTAAACGTAGCCGTATGTCGACTATGTGGCCAGAAAGTCAAGCGTGGCCAGGGGGCCCATGTTGGGACTACAGCGTTGCGTCAGCATATGCAGCGTCACCATTCGGTGGCCTGGGAAAACCGTGATAAAGATACGGCGGTTCTGCCTGCCCCAGCCCCCGCTCCATCACCCGCTCCGTTACTTGCTCCGTCACCCGACGTCAATCGCCCTCTATCAGCCAGTCAAGGCTCCAACACCTCTGCTGAGGGGAGTTGTCGCTCGTTGGCATCTTCCGCTCGTTCAGATGCTCCTTCTCCTGCTACTCCTCTTCACGGATTCCGTCAGCAGTCTTTCTTGGAATCCGTTTCCAAGAGACAACAGTTTGCGAGCACGCACCCGACGGTGCAAAAGCTGAACGTCCTCCTGTCCAAGTTGCTGGTGCTGCAGTCCCTCCCTTTCCAAGTGGTGGACTCAGCACCTTTCCAAGAAATGATGGCTTGTGCCGCGCCGCCGTGGAGAGTGCCAAGCCGGCATTTCTTCGCCAAAAAGGCAGTGCCAGCCCTGCATTCACATATAGAAGAGATGGTGGGCCAGTCTTTGAGCATGTCGGTCTCTGCCAAAGTGCACGGCAGCGCCGACGTGTGGAGCTGTAACTACGGTCAGGGACAGTACATGTCATTTACAGCGCACTGGGTGAACGTGGTGCCGGCACAGCCGCACCAGCAACTTGGACAGGTCACGCCGCTTTTGTCTCCACGTTTGCACGTCCTTGGTCCAGCAAGCATGTCCGCCTCTACCACCTCTTCTTCCGCCGTGTCCTCAGCCGCCACCCCCCGTGCCAAGATCCCATTACCCGACCGGCATATCACATGTGCAGGGCGCAACGGTGTCACGCTGTGCTGCACCTGGTATGCCTTGGCGAACGTAGTCACACAGGGGGAGGAACTTCTGAGTGTAATGAACAGAGAAATTGACAGATGGCTGTCTCCGCGCAAACTGAAAATCGGAACCATGTTGACCGACAACGGAAAGAACATGGTGTCTGCTCTGCGTCAAGGAAGGTTGTGCCATGCGCCATGCATGGCTCACGTGTTCAATCTGGTTGTCAAGCGGTTCCTAAAATCCACCATCCCACTGCAAGACATCCTTAAAATGTCACGTAAACTTTGCATGCATTTCAGCCATTCCTACACCACAAAGCACATCCTCCTTGAGCTGCAGCGGCAGAACGGAATTCCACAGCATCGCCTGATCTGCGACGTTGCAACAAGGTGGAATTCAACCCTACACATGTTAGACCGCCTTTACGAACAGCGAAAGGCCATCACCGATTTCCTGATGTTACAAGCGGATAAAGGTACTCCCCTGTGTAACTTCGATGTCAGCCATTGGCAGCTCATGCGTGACACCTGCCGCTTGCTCAGGCCCTTTGAGGAGGCCACGCTATTCGTGAGTCGGCAGGACTATGGGATGAACGACGTCATTCCTCTGTTGCACGTCCTGGAACAAATGCTGTTAACAATGGCTGGTCAGGGTGCGGTAGACGTGGCGCACAGATCTCAACGCCACATGACCCCTGTGGGGGCAGGACAGGAAGAAGAGGAGGAGGTAGAGGAGGACATTGGTGCTCAGGAATTATTGAGTGAAATGGGTGGTTTTTCCACTCAGCGGACAGGAGTGGAGGAGCAGGAGCATCTGGTAGAGGAGGAGGAGACAGAGGACCCAGACGCACCGTGGCAGTATGCTGTGGAGATGGAGGCAGGGAGTCCCTCGCATTCCTTGGCACAAATGGCCCATAGCATGCTCGGTTGCTTGCGTAGCGACAGCCGAATAATAACCATCAGACAGAGGGATGACTTTTGGCTGTCCACCTTGTTGGACCCTCGCTACCGTTCAAAAATGGTGGCCTTTTTCACACCTGCTGAGAGGGAGGCCAAAATAAAGTACTATAAAAACCACCTATGTAGTCAGCTGGTCTCTGCCTTTCTGCGCCAACGTCCATCCTCAGACACTGTGGGCCCTGTGCGCTCGCGTTCCGCTGCCATGGCAGCAGGGGAGGGGTGGGGTGGTAGGAGCAGTGGCAG